CATTAGGCTCTCCGCTAAGTGCTGTGCATATGCTGTTCTATTTCATCCTCATAATCATCTGGAGCGGTGTGTCATATTATTATCCACATTGTGCAGGTGGGAGAATCGAGTCACTGAGAAGTGACGCAGGCCCAAGGCCACCTAGTTAGGAAGGGATGGTGCTAAGATTCGAATCCTGTTTTCAAAGACTGCCCCTAATCACAGTACTATCCCACCTCATCATTTTGAGCTTTTTGAGGTTACTGCTAAGGGACAGAATTCAAGGTTCCTTCATCTTTGCCTCCTTATTATGGTCCTCCTTGGAAGACACTGCCAAGTGCCTGCTTCTCTCCTCTGTTACTAGATTGGAAACAACTTGAGCACAGGATCAATGCACAGATACTCAGAAAGCATTGGTTAAATCGAATCCTCCTCTGTTCTGGTAGCTTCCCTGCATTGCATACCCTCTTTTCTTACCCACTTCCTCCTCCTCTCTGCATTTGGGCTCTGCATATGCCTCTGCTCATTTCGGCCTAGTCTCTGGGGACAGCATGGCCACATACAGTGTCATCCCTGGACCCACGGCTGTCCCTTCTCCGTGTCAAAGTCCTCTCCCCTCGTGGTCTCCATCACGCTCCCCACAACTAGTCGTTTTGACAGCTTGTCTTGTCTCCATCCACAACCCTCTGACCCAAGTCAGGGAGCCATCTTCAGCTCTGTCCCCCATCCCCATGACATGACCACCCATAGGCCATCCTGGGGGCATAGGAGCCATTCCATAAACAGGAGCTGGATGAATATTTAAAGGGAAGTAGTAAGTAGTATATTAGCAACTTACACGGATGTTGTAATGATCCACAGTGAAATATTCCCTCACCTCTTTGCCAAATTATCATTCCAAACCACGGAATACATTAAGTTTTATGATCTACTCGCTTCTTTGGGGAAATATAAATCTTGAAACATCATCTTCATATGACAGGGCAAAGAGTCCCCTGGGAGACAAGATGTTTAAGAATGTTAACCAAGAATCAGAAATAGTTTGTGACTAATATGGGGGTTTTGTTTATGGGCACAAATAAATCCCTGGTCTAGGGCTGACCCGTACAGATCTGTCCATGATGAAGACTCTGCAAATGATGGAACAGAAAAACAATCTGAATCTAAAGAGATGATTGGGGGCAGGGTTGTAGTGTTTACAAGCTAATATTTTCTGACCATAGATTTGTATGCTGTTCAAATGTTCCTAGTCACCAACTAACATAAATAGGATAGAAACTAGAAATTTATATAAACGGTTTACAGCCCTCTAGGTTTGTAAGTAGGTCATGTGAAACGAAGCACTTCCTTTTTCCAGGATCATCAAAAGCGACCCCCTCACCTTTCTTTCACCATCCAGGTTAGGAACTAGCGGGGATGCTCACCATGAGGGGGCAGAAGAAGGTGCTGGCACTAGGGGACTGAGACTGGAAGCAGGATGAGGGGGTTCCCAGGGGACGGCACTGCTTCGGGAGTGAGGGACCCATGTTTGCTTCCCGCTAGTTAGCCTTGGTCAGGCCTCCTCCTTGTTTAAAACCCATCATAGATTCACCACGGCTTCTAGAACAACCCTTAGAATCCTTCGTCTGGCTTATAAAATCCTCTGTGATTTGACTCTGCCGCTCTCTCCAGGCTCATTTCCCAACATACCAGGTGAACTCAATACCTGCTTTCCACTTTCTTGGTCCCTTAACCTGCAACTTCTGCCCAGATGTCTATCCTCTTTGAGTCATTTGGTAGACAGCTCCTGCTTTATAAAAACAGCATGAAGCTCGTCTCATCCCTGAAGCCTTCTCAAAGGTGGTTTTTCCCTCCTCCAACTTGCTAGTGAACCCTGAACTTCGCCCTCTCTGCCTTGGGACCTCACAGTACACAGAATGGAAGAATATATTTCCCCACCTCACTGGTGTTGGACTTGGCCAAGGACTTAAGACCAGTGAGATGTGAATGCAAGAGCCAAGGCCTTAAGAGGCAACGTGTTTTGTATATTCTCTAGTGCTTCCTTGACCTTCCACAAGAAGAATGCACCTCTGGCCAGGTGCTATTCCAAGGAGGCTATGGAAACACATGGAGCAAATTTGAATCCAGCCTAAACCCAGAGCCAACCCCAGCTGAACTGCAGAGCTGCCTCAGCCAAAGCACAGATTTGTACGTGAAAAAAGGAGATGCTAACTGGAAGCCACGGAGTTTTGAAGTGGTTTGTTTTGCAGCATTAGTGTGACAACAGCTGACAAACACATCATTCCACTTTGGGGCTGAACCTCAGAGAGGAAGTGTATGTAGAGAAAACCTGTTTGGAGGGATTAGGAAATTTCAGGCCTGGTGCTGTAAGCCTCTCAGAGCAGTCCACCTTTGGCAGGGTGCTGTGTCTAACACGGCATGGAAGTGGTAAGGCAGCACCAGGCAGGCGAGAGGGCCCAAGAGATGGGCAGAGAGATGCTGCTGGATGCGGATCTGATCCTTGGATAGAGATTCAAGGCTTCTGACATGAGTGGTGGGGGATGAGGAACCATGGGAGAACTATTTCATTCGTATAGAGATGAGCACAGGGAAACTACAAAGTGCAGGCCCTTGGGATCTCAGGCCATGGAAGGTCTTCGGTTATCAGCCTGATACCCCCAGACCACACAAGACCAGCCACCCCTGGAGCACCCTAGGACAGGATGCCCTACAGTATGAGGACACAGTAGTGAAAAATAGTGTATGTTGTTTTAAGCCACTAAATTTATGGTAATTTGTTACAACAGCAATAGAAAACACATACAAGGTGGAAGCAATATAATGATCCAGCAATAGGGGACTGCATTACAGAACCATGGTTTTGTCAAGAAAATGAGAGATTTATGGGAGAGAGTATAGAGCCACAGTTATAAGTCCAGCTTTGGAGGTGACCAGATCTGGGTCAGACTCTGGTTCTACACTCCTTAGCTGTTGATCCTGGGCAAGTGACCTGCCCTCTTAAAGCTCAATTTCTTCATCTGTAAATCTCATGTGCTTGTGAGAACTAGATGTGCCTGGTACTTAGTAAGCACTCACTAAATGGTAATATCTATTATTGTTATTACCATCATTATTATTGTTACTACCCCACAAAAGGAATTCAAAAGCAACATGACTGTCATCTCAAGGTGAGGATGACTTCATTTTGCTTGTCCTCATTTTCCTAGTTTGCTATAATGGACAATAATTCCTTTGGAATAAAAAAGCAATGAAAGATGAATTGAAACAATAACATAAAATATTTATAGAGTTTTTGAAATGTCTTCACTGCCCTCTTTCCTTCTTCCCTCTCTCCGACCCCTCCCCTTTCTCTCCTCCTGCCCCTCATTCCCCCTGGTTCTGCCCTTCTCCTCCTCCCCACCTCATCCCCTCTGCCCTCCTCTCCCTGCTCTCCCCTCCTCTCCCTGCTCTCCCCTCCTCATGCCTCCCTCCTCCTTATTCCTCCCGTCTGTCTTCCCAGCCATACTGAGCTCTCTGGGGAGGGGGCTGTGATCCACAGTCACAACAGTAAATTCCCATTTACTGAGTGCTCACTGCACATCAGGCACGCGGATGCTTCTGAATCAGCGCTCACCTAACCTTATGAAGCAAGTTTATTGGTTATGATGCTCTAGGATGCAAGTAAAAAGAAACCCAACCAACAGTGGCATGAACCCTGAGGACATCTATCCCTTCCTTAACCAGATGTCTGTAGGAGGATGTCACTGTTCTTAGTTCAGATGGTGGCATCAAGGATGCTCTGTTCTGCTCCGCCATCTCTCCTTGGGCTTATTCCTTCATGACTGCAAGACAGCTATTAAGTCCCACTTCTGGGTTCAAAGACAAGAAGCAGGGCAGAGGCCATGGCTGTGAGAGCCTTTATTTTCCTGTGCTTGTTTTTAGGGAAAGGGTGGCTCTCCCAGGAGCTTACCTGCAAACTTACTCCTCCAGACTCACTGAACAAAATGAGTTACATGGCTACTGCTACCGAAACCGAGCATTCAGCATTTTCAGCCTCTGCAGCTGGGGATACCCTCTGGGCAGCCATTAAAAAGTGTCAGCGTCATCACTGGCCTCACTTTTACAAAAGAAAAACTGGGCGTGGTACTCTACTGAAGGTCCCACTGCTAATAAGTGACCTAGTAAGGTTTGAACCCACATCTCTTTGACTTCAAGTTCACAAAAGTTTTTCAAAAAGCAATTCTCATTGACAGAGGGCTCTCCACAAGGCACATGACTCTGTCGCCATCCTCCGTCCGCATACATCTGTTCAAAATCTCTGTGTGCTGACTGCATGCCAACCCTGGGCTGAACACAAGGGGCCAGAGATGAATGAGGACACAGGCCAGTGCGCTTATTAACAGATGATTCCAGGACAGAGTGGTAAGTGCTCCAGAGATTGAATGTGTGAGAACAGACGCATCAACAGCTAAGGCTCAGAAATGTACCCTGACTGATGTCACCAGCTGGGAAGTGGGGAGCAGAAACTCAAAGCTGAATAATTACCAAGCCAGTACCCTGCCCGCCTCCCCATGTGCCTTCTGCCATACACAGCAATCACTGGAGTGAGCAATTCTGACACCTAACCAAGACTTTACCCCTGGTCAGTGTAAGCGGTTTCTCAGTGGTGGTGATTCTCTTCATAGCGTTCCACAGAAACCATGACGAAAGCTTAAGGGAAATAAAAGCACTGCCATCTCCAGGAATGCGGACCCTGAAGACCTGCTGTGTTGGTCGGCTCTGGTTGCCATGACAAAACAACACAGATTGGGTGGCTTAAACAACAGACATCTTTTCTCACAGTTTTGGAGGCTGGAAGTCTGTGATCAAGGTGCCAGCAGGGCTGGTTTCTGGTGAGGCCTCTCTTCCTAATTTGCAGATGACCACCTTCTCACTGTGTCCTCACATGGCCTTTCCTCTGTGCACACTCAGAGACAGAGAGAGAGACAGAGACAGAGAGAGGGAGATCTGGTGTCTCTTCCTCTTTTTATAAGGACACCAGTCCTATGGATTAGGCCCCCACTGTTAGGGCCTCATTTATCCTTAATTACCTCCTTAAAGGCCCTACCTCCAAATACAGTCACAGTGGGGCTTAGGGCTTCAGCACATGGATTTTGGGGGAACTCAATCCAGTCCATAACACCTGTTCAGTGTTTTTACTAAAAAAAGTTTTGGTCTCATCTATATTGGGCTCAGCACAGTGTAGACAGCCATATAGAGCATCCAACATCCTAGATACTGATTTTCTTCAATGCTGACCATTTTCCTCCCCTGAACTGAGTTTCCTCAGCTCTCCATTTGGCTATATCTGCAGATGCAGTGAAAGGAAGTGCCAATTTATCACAACTTGGAGAAAAGCCCAGTCAGTCTTCAGTTTCTTCCTGAAGTCCTCTCCTTGAATCCTCCCACTGTAGAAGCTGAAAATACGATATTCACTACCCTGTCTTCTTTGTACCAAGCAGGACCTTGAACCTGGCTTGGCTGGTCTGACTCATCACCTGTGCTTTGAACTGCAAGCTGGCAAAGCAAAGAAGAGGGGACCTTACAGAAGCCATTCGGGCAGCAAAAGCAAGCAGCTAAGCAGTTTCCTGAGGTGGCTGATCTGGTGGCTGCATCTGAATCTAACATCAGAAGGCTGACCACGTAAACTGTGGACTGTGGGTTCACAGTGGCGGCAGTGGAGTCTCTGCAGGGCCAGTTCTGCAGGACAGTTGCCAACATCATCCCAGCTACATGGCCCCCAAGGCGGGATCTGGACCCTCTCACATACTCCCCAGTGCCTTAGAGCAAATTCCTTATCTGTGTAAACTAGAGTAAATTTCTGACACTTGCTAAGAAGTCTGGCTGATGCCTCTATGTCATCCGGAAGGAGTAGTCTTGCTGCTAGCTTCCTACTAAGCACAAAAGATGCTGCAAACTTCCTTTTTTTTTTCCTAAATAAACTTCTTATTTTAGACATACAGAAAAAAACTGCAAAGATAGCACAGAGAATTCTCCTATATTTCATACCCAGTTTCCTCCAGTATTAATATGTTGTATTATCATGGTACAGTTGTCACAGTTAATGAACCATTACTGACACATTACTAGTAACTAAAGTCCAAACATTATTCAGATTTCCTTAGTTTTTACCCACTTAAACCAGAGTCCTTTTTCTGTTCCAGGATCCCATCCAGGATACATTACATATACATTGTCGTGTCTCCTTAGGTTTCTCTTGGCTGTGACAGTTTCTCAGACTTTCCTTGCTTTTTTTAATTTGTATTTTTAAAAATTGGATATATAACTGACGTGTAACTTTAGAGTGTCCCTGTTGTTGACGGTCAGTTTGAGGAGTACTGATCAGGTGTTTTGCAGAATGTCTTCCCACTGGGATTTTTCTGATATACTTTTCTGATGATTAGATTGGGGTTATGGGTTTAGGGGAGGAAGGCCATAGAAGCAAAATGCTTCTCATACATCCTATCAAGGGAGCCTCTGGTCAGGATGACTTACACTGTTGATGCTGACCTTGGTCAGCTGACTGCGGCAGCGTTTCTCGGATTTTGTCACTGTCAAGTCACTTTTTTTCTCCCTTTTCATACTGTGCCCTTTGGCAGGAGGTAACTATGTGAGGCTCCGAGATTAACAAGCAGTGAGTTAACACTCCGCCGCTTCATTTATTTATTCAGTCATTTATATCAGTATGGACTCATGGCTGTTTATTTTACATTTTGGTTAATCATCCATACTACTTTATTTTGTTGCTCCTGTGTCCCACTGACATACCCTCAACTGCACCCCTCACGTCAATGTGGGGTTTAAAATTTTTTTAGCACTTTCTGACTTTTTGGCATTACAAGCTCTTGGCTCAACTTGTGTATCTCCTGCACCATCCTAGCACCAGCCATTTCTTCGTGGATCCTGGTTCCTTTTACTGGAGAGTGCATTAGAAACCAAGATTTGGGTGGTAGGTGTGTTTGCTGCTACTGAGGCACTGCTGCCATTTTGAAGGCAGTCTCAGTTGAGAAGGCAAGGAAATACATGTGTATATATGCTCATACCAATAAGTACTTCTTGATGTAGTCATCTGTGTCCATATTAAGTTATACATGAATTCACACTGACATCTCCAAACACATGATCACATTGATCATTCTAAGCCATCACCCCTTGCTTACTGTAAACTCCCACTAAAACAAGGAGACCCCGGCTCCCCCAGCTGCCATCCATATGTACTCGATGGTTCAGTTCCAGCGGTTTCAGAGCTGTTAACCTGCATACTTGTGGGAACAAGTTTGTCAACCAAAGTGCTTGTATACTGTTAGTTTTGCAGACTTCGTTGATTTCCAGAGTTGCTTAGGGTGCACCTTTTTCTCCCATCCCTTTCAGTGAGCTTTTTTCATACATTTGTACAAAATTCCCTTTTTCCCCTGGTAGGCAGGTTTCAGTCCATGTAGAGTCAACCTCAGATGGTCTCTGGGACCCCTTCTTTCTCTTGACTTCCCTTCCTCTCTTCTACTCTTCTGCCCTCTTCCTGGACCCTGGTTTCATCCTGCTCCCCTTCACCTGGTGTAGGCCAAGGAATACAAGTTTTGTCTCTAGCCTGAAGGTGCAAAGATGTGTTCTTACAATCAGGGGGTGATGCTCTAAAGATCTCTGGGGGATAAGGTTCATTGTCCTAGGTCCTCCAGAGGAGAGAAACTAGGGTATAAGAAAAACTTTCTCAAATGTTCGTATATCCTCTCATCACATTACTTCAATATGCTATTGTGTTAATATGACCGTCATCCGCAGGCAGGAGGGTGGAAAGGAAGACAGGGTGTGAACGGGGTTGGAGGACACCATCCTGCCACATGGAAGGCTGTGAGGACAGGCTACGAGGCTGGGTGGGAATCAGTCATGCCACAGCCATGCCACAGTTCTACAAGATATAGATTTTCCAAAGTCAAATCATTCACGGAAACAAAATTTCACTTGCCTTGAAATACGTTCTTCAAATTTCTCTATTATGTCTATTTTTAAAAAGTCATCAGAGTAATACTCCAAAAAACCACCCACTCCTCCTTAAAAGGTGATCTAAATAACATTCTCATAGTTATAATAGTCCCTGTGGCTCTAGGGTAGTGGTGGGGGCCTGAAGTTGGAAATGACAGCCTCATCACTTCTGTCCCTGGGGATGAGGAGGGAGCCTGACAGCTGATCACTTTTTGCCTTTGATAAACACCCTTCTTATTCTAATTACACCTTTCTCTAAGGTAACTTTTCCAGCTTCCCCCCTCACCCGACTCCTTACATCCCTGTTTAAAAGGAGCCTATTTGGACAGCTTGTGAACAATGTGCTTCGGGATGGTTTAATCGGGGAAAGGAAACGTGTAGCGGGTCTTATCCGGGGTGAGCGTCTCAAGCTTCTAAGATTATCTCCCTGACACCTCGTGACCCATCTTCTTCACGCCACCTTTTAATTTTGGTAGCAATTATGGTGTATATGGATAATGCCCATTAGCATATTCATGGTCATCTCTTCATATTTATTGTCCGCATAACTCATTAATCTTCATCTATTTTGTGTGCTTGACAGCTCAATCTATTTTGCAATCTCTGGGAAGCAGCCATAGCGCCCCAAAGCCTTTGTTTCCTGTAAATAAACTGTGTTGGGGACCAGAGGACAATGGTGCATCCTGTGGTGATTGACACCAGCCACGGCTACTAATCAGGATGGGACTTCATTGCCAGCTGAGTCGAGTGCATTATGGGGCCATTGTTCCAATGCTGCCAGGGCAAGAACACACACAGCCAGTCACCTTCACAAGATGGGTTGATTGTTCTTCAAGATTAGACTGAGTTGCCTTATTATCCATCCCAGATAACAAGGCATCTCACCCAAACAGACGCATTTGCAGGAACGGCCGGTATACCGGACAGATTTGAATTGCTAATGTATAATCTGCCCGGCACAGATGTGCAATGAATATTTGGATGTTGTTTTGCCCGTCAGTTGAGGAGGCTGAATTGATGAGGTGATGAGTATTCAATGATGGGTTCCTGGACATTGGCCAATGGCAGAGTTTGAGCACTTGCGCTGAAGATAATCAGATTACCCCCAAGGTGCCTTTGCAGTAATTCGGCAGCAGACTGTAAATTCTGTTACAGAGACTGCTTGGTGGAAAGTTCCTTTTCCTTTCTGGTGCCATTAGATGCTTTGTTGTGTTTTTCAGACTTGGGACAGGTATAGAGGTTGCCTTAATTGTGTCCTTACCTGCCAACTGTTGGGACTGTGAGTGATGTAGAACTGACTGCTTGGGTTTGAATTGGCCATTTTTGAGCTATTTTCTTAAGCAATTTGTGCCTCAGTTTTCTCATCTGTTGAAATTGGATGAAAAATTCTATCAACCTTATAGAGCTGCTACAGAGCTGATATCCATAGAATAAGTCCTAGCACAGTGCCTGGCTCATAGTAAGTGCTCAACAAATACTAACTATAGCATCGGTCATTTGCTTTCAACAGTACTGTGGTCAAATAGGTTGGATACATTGGAAATAAAGTTAAACTATCTTAATTACCTCAGGATTTCTCCTAGTCTTTACTCTGCTATATTGCCTGGTAGCTTTCCAATTGTATGGACCACTTCCCACACTTATATGACCATGGAAGCCTTTTCTCTGGAGCACTTTACACCTTATTTTGTTCAGAACATACAATAGGAAAAGCTGCCCCAGAAGATGATAACAGAGCATTTGTAAAGGTTTGAAAGAAAAACATGTGATTCAAGAATTTTATATACTATCAAGTTATTTATATGTGAAGGCAATGGGAATTCATTAGGCAAATGCATGTATTGTCTCTGAAAAAATGTCCCTAGGAAGAGGTCAATGACTGAAAAAGGAACTCCAGAACGGCAAACAAGAACTTGTAGGAATCAGTAAGACCAGTTGATTGTATCAAAATAAGTCTAAACAACTACAGCAAGTATCTTGTCAAAACTGACATCAAAAGATAAAAAAATTTACCGCAAAAGACCCAGAACTGCCAAGGCTTCCTGTGGGAAAAAAAAAAACCAAAGCTAGAGGCATAACCCTTCCAGGCTTCAGAAAATACTACAAACCTACCATAATCAAAATGCATGGTGCTGGCACAAAAACAGACATATAGATCAATGGAACAGAACAGAGAGCTCAGAAATAAGCCCACACACCTATGGTCAATTAATCTAGGACAAATGAGGCAAGAATATACAATGGAGAAAAGATGGTCTCTTCAGCAAATTTTGTTTGGAAAGCTGGACAGCTGCATGTAAATCAATGAAATTAGAACACTCTTTCACATCCCACATACAAAAATAAATTCAAAATGGTTTAAGATCTAAATATAAGACATGACACTATAAAATCTCCTAGAACAGAACATAGGCAAAACATTCTCTGACATAAATCATAGTAATACTTTCTCAGTCTCCCAAGGCAAAAGAAGTAAGAGCAAAAATAAACAAATGGGACCTAATCAAACTTAAAAGTTTTTACACAGCAAAGGAAGTCATAAACAAAATGAAAAGACAACCTATGGACTTGGAAAAAATATTTGCAAACGATGCAACCAACAAGAGGTTAAATTCCAAAATATATAAACAGCTCATACAGCTCAATATCAAAAGAACAACGCAATCAAAAAATGGAAAGAAGAACTAAACAGACATCTCTCCAAAGAAGACATACAGATGGTTAACAGGCACATGAAGAGATACTCAACATTGCTAATCATTAGAGAAATGCAAATCAAAACGATATTGAGGTATCAACTCACACCAGTTAGAATGGCCATTATCAAAAAGTCTACAAATAATAAATGCTGGAGAGAGTGTAGAGAAAAGGGAACCCTCCTACACTGTTGGTGGGAATGTAAATTGGTGCAGCTATGGAAAACAGTAAGGAGGTTCTGTAAAAAATTAGAAATAGAGCTACCATATGATCCAGCAATTCCACTCCTGGGCATATATCCAGAAAATATAAAAACTCTAATTCAAAAAGATGCATGCATGGCCAGCAGCACTATTTACAATAATCAAGACATGGAAACAACCCAAGTGCCCATCAACAGATGACTGGTTTAAGATGATGTTTTATATGTATGTTTTATATATGTGTGTGTATATATATAATGGAATATTCAGCCATAAAAAAGAATGAAATATTGCCATTTGCAGCAACATGGTTGGATTTATAGAATGTCATACTAAATGAAGTAAGTCAGACAGAGAAAGACAAATATTATATGATATCATTTATATGTGGAAACTAAAAAATAATATAAATGAATCTATACAGAACAGAAACAGACTCACAGACATAGAAAACAAACTTATGACTATCAAAGTGGAATGGGGCAAATTAGGAATATGAGATTAACAGATATAAACTACCATACATAAAATAGATAAGCAATAAGGATTTACTGTAGAATATAGGGGACTATATTCAGTATCTTGTAATAGCCTATAATGGAAAATAGTCTGAGAAAATACGTAACTGAATCACTTTGCTGTATACCAGAAATTAACACAATGTTGTTAATCTACTACACTTCAATTAAAAAATATTAAAACATTTAAAAGAGATTATTTATATTGAAATAATGGGACCATGGCATACATCAATGCAGATCAAAAGAATAAAGAAGGGGAAAGGAAAACCAAATGTCTTTTTTAAGGGAAGGAAAAAGAAGGTAGAAAGGATATACATCTATTTAATAAAGGTATAATAAGAGCAACCCCAGTAGTCTTTAATAAAGACTCTTAAAAGTCTAGTAAATCATTAAAGACCAATGCCTTTAGATATGAGGAAAAAAATCCCCTAAACCCAGTGTTTCTCTGCTTGTTAGACAAACAAAAATATAGTGAAATATTCAAAATTAAAATATGGGTAAAATATGATCATTCAAATGTGAACATAAAGAAGTCAGATTTGGCAACATTAATATCAAACAATGCAGAGATATACAAGTCACAGAGTACAAAACTGTAAACAATTTCATTTCTTCATCCCCAGGCCCTTGCACAAGGTAGGTCATAAATAGATACTAGCAAGATGTACTATGGAAGTGGAAGCAATGGGCAAAAGGTTATGTGGTAAGGGATAGCTCATCTGCCAGGGCACCTTAAGCATAAGTTAAAGGGGTCATTTCTTAATAGGAGAGGACACCTACTTTATCTTCCCAACTCACCTTCTTTGGGAACTGCTTCCTCTTCCTTCCTCTGTACACCCTGGACTCTCTTCTCCCAGCTATACGATTCCTACAGCTGTGTGATCCTGATCCTGCCCACAGTTAATGGGAGCCAATCTGAGCCTGGCAAGCCATAGTACCTTGCCTCCCGATTTGCTTCATTAATTTAAGGGAAGGCACCTTAACCAAGAAGGGTCCATCACAGTCCTTCAGTGATGTCTTTTCAAACTCTGAGAAAGAAGGCTGGTTCCTCTTTGGTGATGCAAAAAGTAAGATGGAGGCTCTCAGTTGCTATGGGTGACGGTCAGTCATATTTCCTGTCATGAGAAATAAATTAGTCTATAATGAATAACACTGATAACAGATATTTTTAAAATGGCATTCTAGAAGCATTTGAATTCTTGGTTCCATGTGAACCTCAGGCCTAGCTACAATGATCTAACAAGGAGAAGTTGTAGATGTAGCTTCCTAAAAATTTCCCTTTTCTGCATAAGCTGCAGTTGGGTTTCTGTTGCTTGCAACCAAAAGAATCCTAATACAGTCACCTTGTTAAAGTTTTTAAATAGTGGTACATATGTCCTGATATATGATACTGTATTACTCTGTTGAACTGAAGTGTTAAGTTAGGTTCCCAGGTTCCACAATACAAAGGGAGCACATCATCTGGTTGAAAGCAAGCTGGACAACATGATAATTTGGTTTGAAAATAAACAACACCAGTTGGTGAACTTTAAAAAAAAAACTGCTATTTTTTTGTTGTGTTGCTAGGCAGTTTTGCAACCCTTAACATACGCCTATTTTTTTCCATTATTTTTCCATGTTTTTTCTTTCTAAAATTTTAAATATTTGCTTTTAGTATTTAAATTATTTTTTTAACTCAGCTGCTAATTGTAGCAAACAGTTGGCACAATCATAATATATAATAGTAAGGGATTGACTAGAACAAACTTTACATCCCAAATAGGGCAATACTTGGATACACTAATGTCTAAAAATATATTGTAAAAACAGAAGTGACCAATAAGGTTATCTTATGCTTTAAGTTTGATTTCTTTTTCTTCTGAGAAAATCAGCTTGTACAGTATCAGAAAATACAAGCAAACAAAAGAAAAATTTAATGCCTACTGGTAATCACAACCACCTGGGGACAACCAACGTGACCACCTTGGTGTATAGTCTATTAGAAACTTTTATAATTACATATACATATATATCCTCATATCTATTCATTTAGAAAATCTTCTTTCCTATAAAAATGGGACTACATCACATATGCTTTTTTAAAATCAACTTTTGGAGATACAATTTACATGCAATGATATACACTCATTGTAAGCAAACACTTCACTGGTTATGACAAAGTTATACAGCTTGTAACCACCACCATAATAAAGATCCAGGACACTTCCATCATCCTTCAGAATTCCTTTGTGTCCTCTCCTAGTCAGTCTCTCTCTCTCACCCTGGGCTGGAGGTAAACAGCAATCAGCCTTCTGTCACTGTAGATTAGCTCTGCTTTTTCTTTAAGATTTCATGGAATCACATAATGTGAACTCTTTTGTGTCTGACTTCTTTCACTCAGCATGCCTTTGAGATTCATCCACATCATTGTGCTTATCAGTAGTTCCTTCCTTTTCATTGCCAAGAAGTATTCCATTGTATGTATGAATGTACCACAATTTGTTTATCCATTCACCTGTTGGTGGACTCTAATATTTAGGTTTTGACTATTAATGAACAAGGCTGCTGTAAATATTAGAATAAGTCTTTGTTTAGATATATGCTTCCACTTATTTTAGGCAAAATACCTAGAAATGGAATTGCTGCGTCATGTGGTAAATGTCATATTTAACTTTACAAGAAACTATCAAACTACTTTTCAAAGAGTTTCGTCCATCTTCCATTCCCATCAGCAATGTGTGAGAATTACAGATGCTCCACATTCTCAGTAACATTTCTACCGAGTGTCTTTAATTTTACGAGTGTGCACTGATGTCTTATTGTGGTTTTAATTTGCATTTCTTTGATGACTTGTGATGTTGAACATCTTATCATGTGCTTATTGGCCATTTGTATAACTTCTGTGAAATGGCCGTTCAAATCTTTTGCCTACTAAAAAATGTGGGTTATTTATTCTTCAGCTATTGAGTTGTAAGACTTCTTGATATATCCTGGATGCAGGTCTTTATCAGCTATATTAAATATTTCCTCCCAGTCTGTGGCTTTTTTAATTTAAAAAAATCAGTGTCCTTTGAAGAGCAGTTTTTAATTTTGGATGAAATCAAACTTACCAATTTTCCCCTTTATGCTTTGTGCTTTTGGGGTCCTATCAAAGAAATCTTTGACTACTTCAAGGCTGTATCTCCTTCCATTTTCCTAACTTCTGCAGTCTAGCCCTCATGTTTATTAGGCCTACGATCCACTTCAAGTTCATTTCTGTATATAGTGTGAGGTAAAGGTTGAGGTTCACTTATTCTCCATATGGATATCCCAACTATTTCAGCACCATTTCTTGAAAAGCCTGTCTTTGCCCCATTGAATTACCTCAGCACCTTTAGTAAAAATCAACTGACCACATATGTGCCAATTTATTTCAGAACTCTATTCTGTTGATCTGTTTGTCCATCCTTACTTTAGTAACTGTCTTGACTTTTGGGGATACTGAGTTAACAACCCACAAACTGAGAGGGAAATACTCCTTGTTGGGGTTGCTTAAATGTTCTATCCATCTCCCCATGACGTGACTGTCCCTGGTGAAGGCAGACTTCCAATGCTACTCTTAGTGGGATGGCAACAGACTGGGGCAATTTACCTAGACCTGTGAGACTGTCTTCATCTCTAATAAGCTCGTGGCACTTTAACAGTTTACACAGCAGCTTCACATCCTGTCTCACCCATATACTGATTCAGGCCCTCTCACTCACTCTTTCATTTGTCCATTCTTCACAACCACCTTGTCGGGTGGGCTACTTTGACCTTCTTATATCCGTTTTACAGAAAAGAAAACCTAGACTTTAGGATTATCACCATCAGGACACTGTATCATAGTTATGGGACCCTAGAATTCTAGCTTAAGTAATACAGAAAAACAAAGGCCAATCTGACTTTATCATCTTAGCGGTCTGCTATAATTCTGCCTGCCAACTTCTTGAGTGAGTGGCAGATCACAAAGGTAAGTCACACCTGTGCTACACCTGGGCCCTCCTCTCCAAAACACCAACATACACACACATAAACAGATATATATACACAACCCCTAAGAGACTTCAAGACTACATTTGTCTCAAATGACATCAGAGTGGCCTAGTGATGTGCTTGCAAGATATTTCAGCATTTGCTTGTGGTCCTATTTCTGGGCCCCTAAGCCAATTCACCTTTATTGTGAGCCCCAGCCAATCCCCAGTCCTCTAGACAAGGACAGAGCGCTGGCTCCAGCAGCCCCTTGGCTCAGGAGTTAGCATGGTAAAATCCTTCCCCTTCTTCCCTCCCAGGGGTTGCTATTTAATCAGAGGACAGGTTGGAAACTGGATCTGTCACTGGGAAAGCTCTCTACCCCTTAGCTGGCAGGCACGAGTGCACTGGTGTACAGATGGTGGCCCCCTCACTGGCTGTTGGGGACAGAGCTGCAGTGGGGCTGAGGTTAGGAAAGAAGGAGTAAGGCATTCTCAGGAAGTGGCAGGAGATAAGGAGTTTTTGGTAAAAGTGGAGGTGGTGTGAGGGGGCTTGGAAAGAAGTTAGAGGAGGGCTGCAATTGTCCCTCTGTGTGACCTTAGGCAGGTCCCTTTCTCTTTTGGGGCCTCAGTTTTCCCGTCTATGTAAGATCAAGTTAGGTTGGGTGACCTCTGGGATCCTATTCAGCTCTGAGTGGATTTGATTCTGGGAGTTGCAAATGCGAAGAAAGGCGGTCAAAGGACAGTTAAGTGATGTTGGCAGAGGTGGACAGAGAAGGGCTGCTGGTCATAAACAGAGTTGGGGGCCAAATAGAGAGCAGGGCAGTGAAGTGTCCAGGTGCCTCATTTTCTTTATGGAAGAAGAGATAGAACAAGATCGTGGGAGTGAGACTCTCATACTGGGCAGGTTAGAAGGTGGTAAGCATTTACTGACACGGCATCTGTAGTACAATGCAAAGAACTCTCAACCTGGTCCAGGGCTTCCAGGCTGTAAGCCTCAGCTTTTTCACAATAAGCATGGCTACAATAATTACCTGGAACAAAGCTGTGAAGAGCAAATGTGACAACCTAGAAAGAGTTCTGCCGACTGCAAGGGCTGCCCAAATAGGGGTTCAGTATCATTAGTCATTGCATCATTTCCAAACAGTAAGAACAATACTGCTCTCCGTAAGCTAAGTGGGCAAATGTCTTTTATATGTACATCACTCCACCCACACCTCCATCTCATGTGTGTGTGCTCATGTGCAGAATCTGAGCTAACTGGTGGAGATCCATGGAAGGCCATGAAGGGTCAGGGGTTGCACCCATGTGCACAGGTGAGTGACTGACACAGGAAAATAGTGACCTCCTTGAGAGAGGGTGCATGGATCTCCAGCAGCTGGCTTGGTTAGGGCGGAGGCAGACTGAAGAATGGTTAAGTGGATGGACTTGGAATCTGAGAGCCTTGAGACGCTGCCCATCCCTCCAGGCTATGTGACCCAGCCAGCTTGCTTAACCACACTCATCTATAAAGGGAAGAACGCCGACACCTCATAGAACTGTCAGGATTAAGTGAGTTGTCTGTTAAGTGTCTCATGTCATGCCTGGCCCAGAATGAGTGCTAGTAGAACTACTATTGATACGGTCCTGGACAGTTTACTTCAGTGTTCCACGCTTCTATCTTCCCTAACTTCGGCTTTGTTTTGGAAGCTGTGAATATCTCCTACAGGCGAAGCTCCATCTTAGGTCCAGAGGCAGGAGTTAATGCAACAGGAGGCTACACATCCTTCCCAGATCTGTGATCTTACTGTCACCTGCTGGAGCTTAAGACAGGGAAGGGAAGTTAGACTCAAGGCCCATAAACCCACGTAGTCCATTTTGGAAGGATCTGCATAAAAATAGTCAAATAGGCAAAAGTTTCAATGCTTGCAATGGGTAAGCATCAGTTATAACTCAGAGCGTGATTGAATCTGTCTGTCCTAAACTTAGTGGTCAGAGCCACTGGGCCTTTCTGGAAAGGCTGTAGTTCCCTGAGAAACATGCACTAAGCCACAAAAAAATGGGACGACCTACTTTCCTGGATGGCAAGCTTTCACAACACCAAAAGGAAAGAAAACTCAACTGAACTCTTCATTCCACAGAAAGCTCAATAAACCTGACACTGGTACAGTCATTTCATTTCATAAAAATACTCCTGTGGTACAGACTAATACGATAAATCTGATCCCAAAACTTCATCCTCTAAAGAACCCCAAAAGAACAATACAGCAGTGCAGCATGAATCCACACAGAACTCCCACCGTAATCTTCAGCAGCTCTAAATTGCAAAACAACTAGCATTTATCTAGCCCATACTATGTTCAACTACTCTTTCACGTACTTTATGTACATAACGGTAATCCAGCATAACCACCCTCTGAGGAGAGTATGGTAGTACAGTTATCCCACTTCACAGATGAAGAAGCTGAGGCACAGAAATTAAGCAATTTGCCCGAAGTCACAGGCTCTTAGGCTCTCAGGTCTGTTCTCTTGGAGCTGTTTAGTGTGGAGCTTCTGGCTAGTGATCTTTGCTATTTAAAAAAAAAAAGAATTTAACATTACAGGTATGTTGAAAGGTGCTTTATGCTTATTTGTACTTAGACCAACAGGTAAATGATGAACGGCAAGACTGGTCAGTGCCGTGAGAAGGCCAGAGCACGTGGAAGGGCAGGGGCACTTCTAGTTCGGGAGGTGGGTGAAAGGCCAAGGAAAGCTTCACAGCAGTGGCATCTGAGGCAGGCCTTAGAGGATAAAAAGCACTTGTGGTCTTACACTGAGTAGGAGCTTACTTAAGGAAACACAAGCATTAACAAAGCTGATGACTCAGATGACATCATGAAACAAACCATAAACAAGATGCACACTGCGTGTGTGACAATATCCACTCACTCCGATGCCCAGTTTACTCTAGTTTCTGACTTGAGGCTTGGCTGTCCACACTCCTACCACCACCACAATAGATCATGGAGGCCAAAATCTCATGTTCTGTCTCTTTCTATGTTAAACATCTTTTATTGTCATGTCTATGTGCAAAAACACAATAAATCATCTTTGTAATAAAAAAAAATAGACAGCATTCTTGCTATGGATCCAGGCAAAGGCATGACTAACAAAAATTTCCTAAGAGGTCAGTGAACACAGGTGGACTGATTTAGGGAACTACAGTAACTTCCCATTATGCAATGAAGCCAAATTAATCAACTATGATGATGACACACTTTAAAACCAAATAAGGCACAATATGATTCAAAATTTACAGGCAGAGCAACAATAACCTAGAGAAAATATAATTAAAATATTCTGCTGAACGTGGAATTGTACCATACTTACATCTTAATCAACAATGGTAAGACTCAGAATTATTACAGCATAAAAAGACGTTTTTCTGAAAAAGCACATAGTGGGGTGTAGGGTACAGGAAGGTGGCTCAGGTTTAAGATTCAAGTATATTTAAAAAAATTTCTTCTGCACTAGATTCTAGTTTTTTCCTTTGGTTTCAAAACTTGGTCTACAACTAACAAATATGGTATTAATGAACATAGCATAAAGACCTTAAAAAAATCTGATTATACCAGCAGTTTGGTGACATACTGGTAGAGCTGTTCAGTAAATGCTTCAGGAGAAAACTTCTCTTTCACCCTGGCTCTTCCAGCCAGTCCCATTGTGGCTTTTAAGGAAGGTTCATGGATGAAATTTTCCATTGCTTCTGAGAAGTGCACTGGGTCAGGCTCACAGAGAAACCCTGTGACGTTGTGGACGACGGACTCCAAGGGCCCACCTGAATTAACAGCAATGACCGGGCACTGCAAGTACATGGCCTCCAATGGGACAATGCCAAAGTGCTCGTTACTTGGTGTGTAAAGCACACATGTGCAGCCACGGAGGAGTGAGATTTTCTGTTCGTCTGAACAAGACCGCAGGAAGGTCACATACTGGCCTAGGTCAGAAAGCTGGACCATCTTCTTCAACTCCTCATAGTGTTGTACGTTCTCCAGGACTCTCTCATCATAACCACCTGCCATGATCAAATGAACTTTGTCCCAGTCCTGGGATGTCAACCTTCCACGTAGCTTTACTAGGGCTTCCAGTGCCAAAGTCAGATTTTTCTTCCTTTCATATCTGTTGATGGAGAGAAACAAGAATTTCTTCCCCTTAGGGACTAGATCATCAAGCTTTTCAGGAATAGCTGAATCAAAGCGGGTGATATTCAGAGATGGGTAGAGGACATCGGGGTCTATGTGAGACAGGGACTTGAATGTTTCCTTAAAAATGGCAGCTGTGAACCGGCTGTTGACCAAGATGCAGTCTGCCATGCCTGTGGTGTATTCCTCTACCCAGTCAATTGGAGCCCTGTATAGGCGCTTAAAAAAAGAATCTCTCCTGGTGAGAAGCAGATCTGGGAAGTGACAGTAAAACAGGATTTTCTTACGCCGTCTGGCCAGCTTGAATACTGGGATACAGGCAGACACCTAGCCAAAGCAAAAATCAACAGCAGATAAAGTGGTCAACTAAACTTCAAACAAATCAAAAGTACAGACACTTACCCTGCCTGCTTGTCTGTAGGCCCCTCATGGGCAATGTCACGTTCTGCCTTGTGCTCCCCCAAGACTCTTACCAGGCACAATGCCTGGTATATAGAGGGCTGGTAGACATTTTCTGGATGTGTGCTAAATATTAAAGCTGCAAGTCCAGTGGTTTCCTCTAGAACAGTAGTGTCCAATGGAAGTAAAAATTCAGTAACCACATTAAAAACTTTTTAAGGGTTAAATTTATTGTAATATATTTTATCTAAAATACTATCACTTAAAAATGTAATCAATATCCATACTGGACAGAGCCACTCCAGTATCTTCTTCCACCTAAGGAAATGAATGAATGAACTATAGTAGTTTAGCGTGTAGGCTCTGGAATTAAGATTGCCAGAATGTGAATTTCAGCTCCACTAGCTAGTCGTGCAACCATGACCTAGTAATTAACCTCTCTGGGCCTCAATTTCTTCTTCTGTAACTTGGTGACAATTACAGTTTTTAAAAAACCCATACAGTTGTTGTGAGTATTAAATGCACCAGAATATGTGAAACGTATAAGAATTCTGCATATCGTATGTGCTCAATATTTATTGAAATGTTAACCATGATCATTACTAGAGACTTAACTGTTAGGTAATCTTTACAAGTCACTTAATCTCCAGCTCACTTAACATCTGAAGAAGGTGAGCTTTACGGATATTGAGGGATTTCTCCAAAGCGGCTTAGAAAGTAGCAGATATGGAACTTGGATCCAGGTCTCCCACTTCCAAGCTCAGTTTTCCTCTGTCCACTACAGTCTCAGCTGCCTCACCTTACTGACTAGTTACACACGCAGGATGTTTGGTAAATGCTCAGGCTGCTTAAAAAGCAGCAGCTACCACACAAGCAAAGATGATCAAAAGTAATTCAGAAGTAACAATTAAAAAAACACAAACATAATGCCACTTCCACCTATCAGTTTGGCAAAGATTAAAATGGTCGATAACAACCAATGTGCACAAGAGCACATAGTGGCTCTATCATTGTGGGAGAGTAGATCTGCCTCTTTGGAAGGCAGATTTGGCAAAAGCTATTGACATTTAAGACGTACAACTCCTTGACCTACCAATTTTATTTCCATGAATTTACTCAAAGGCTATGCTTGCAGAAGTACAGAAAAAAAGGTACAAGGATGTTCATTACAACGCTGATGTATTCACCAAAAAACTGGTCACACTGTTAACGACGTTTAACAGAAGAATTGTTTAAGTTACGGTATATTCAAACAAAAGGAATTTTCCAGCTAGTATGAAGAATGAAGTGAATCTCTAATATTGATACATAAGGCTATCCCAAGCAAAAAATTTCGGTGAGAAAAAAGTAAGTTGTCCGATAGTACGTGTGTTACAATTCTCATTATTACAAATAAGAAACTGTTCCTATGAACAAACACACACGCTACTGTAGTCACAATATGTGAAAAGATACAGGAGAAAAAGTGGCTGTTTTTAGGGAGTGGAACTGGAATGGGACATTTACACTACAGTCTTTTATATAATTTGAATTCTTAGTCCTGAGTAAATGTTACTTTTTAAAATAAACATGTTCTTGCGAAAAAAAGACAAAAGAGTCCAGAATAGAGGCCAGATCCAGGTGGACATTATTTACCAAGGTAAAGAACCTGGACTTTTCTCCAAAGACTAACGGGGAGCCATGGTAAAGTTTTAATAGGGACATGACACGTTTGGCTTGCGGGTTTTCAACAAATGACACTGCAGAGGAAAGGAGTGGCCTGGCTGCAAATGCTACAGTGGGATGCATGTGGCCTGGGAGTTGTGTCAACAGGAATCATGCAAAGAGGGAAGCCACACGAGTTACTCAGAAGTAAAAGGTGACTAAAAGCTGACTTCTAATGTGTGTGATTTTTAGAGCGAGCCCCAAGGCCCATACGCTTCAGAATCACCTGACGTCCCAGAAAGTGCAGATTTCCGGGCCCTACTTAGGGGTCCCGGATGAAGACAACTGAGGGTGGGGCAAAGTAATCTGCAGCTTTAACGCGTCCACACTATAGTTCGAGAACCATAGTCTCAGTCCCTGCTCTGATTTCCCTAGTTCAGTTCCGATCTTTCTGAACTCCAAACCGGGGAGGTCATCAGTTGTGCAGGAAGCCCCTGGTAGTGAGAAAAGCAAGCGCGGCGAGGGCCGGGCGCGGCCACCTCACCTGGTCGCACACAACCACGTCGAACTCCTCGTCGGCGAGGAACAGCACGTAGAGCGCCA